GGTTCTGCGCGTTGCGATTCTTACCTTTATATCATTTTTTTATTATTATTATTTATTTTGATTTTTTGTGATAATTTTTTTGTTTTTTTTTCTGTGTGCCTTTATTATTATTATTATTTTGTTTATTAGAGTACGTGTGTTATGCAATATTTTTTAGAATATGTTTGTTTGTTTGTGTGTGTGTGTAGTAGAGTATAATTTGTAGATATTTTATAAATGTGGAATGTGATGCGCAATAACTTGGTATGTACGTAACTAAGTATTTCATGACAACGCGCTGCTGCTGCTGCTGCCGCTGTTGTTGGCTGCTCTGTGCTTCATCTACAAGTTATCTATTTATTTATCTCTGTTATATATTTATTTTATTTTTGTTAGTATTTACTTAAGCTTACTTTTAAAAACAATCAAAATGGTGAACGTTGTTAAAAGATAGAAATAGTAATATTTTTTCCACACAGTAATATTAGAAAGCGGCGACGAAAAGGGGTTAAAAAAATTAGGTAAAAATACACAAGAAAAAAATATGCGAAAGCAAAGAAATTTCTATTTGAATTTATTTTTCATTATAATTAAATATTTTTAAAGATATATATATCTAATATACGATTTTTATTAATTTAAATTAAAATTATTATAGTTAATTTTGTAATAAAATAACATAAAGAATATCAAATAAAGATAAAAATTCTACTTTAATATACTTATTATATGATTATGATAATTTTTTAAATTAATTAAAATTAAAATTATTGAAGTTAATTTTATAATAAAACAAAAAAAATATATTAAATAAAGAAAAAGAATGTTCGTATGTTTATATGTAGAAAAGTACTTGTTAGGCTTATTGTAGTTAATTTTATAATAAAACAAAAAAAAAAAAATATATTAAATAAATAAAAAGAATATACTTTAATCTACTTAAGATACGATTTTCATTAATTATTTTAATATATCGTGTTAGTTAATATGATATTTATTAATTATTTTAATTTATCGTGTTAGTTAATTATAAATAAATTAAGAGAATAAGAAAAAAAACTTATTAAATAAAGAATTTAAATCTAGTAGTAGTAAATTTTAATTAATTAATTTTTTTTTTTAATTTTGTGCAAATTTTTGGCAGTGGGTGTAAAATTTCAGTTGCGGAAGTATGAGTTTTTGTATAACAAAGAACCTTCAAACTTGTTGATTATTTAATTTTTGCTAATCTAAGAAAAAAAAAATTATTATAATTTATTTTATTGTACACTTGTGATAATGTGGAAGAAAAGCAAAACTTGTAGATACTTTTGTTTGTTTTAAACATTTGCACATCATATATTGTAACGTATTTAGATACATTTCCTTATGAAATTTATTCTTTAAAGTAAGCATGACTTAATCAGTTAAATATGGAATATATCTGGAATGAATAATGTTTTAGACTCTGGTTCATAACGGATGCCTACTACATTTGTAGGATTCATGATAAGTAAAATGACTGTTAGTTTTAAAAATGCTACAGAAAGTAAAGATTACAAATATTTTTAGCAGAAAACTATGAGGTATAATTTATATAAATGGAAAGAAGAATTACAAAATTAAAAAGATTCTTTATAACAGAATCTCTATATATTTTTGAACCAGAATCTGCAAAAAACAGACGAAAAATATTACCTTTAAATAGCCCAACGGTACTATTATTCGCCAATTATTAATCTTTTTTCAACTTAGTTATTACTGTTGTTGTTAACTGTTTATTATTTGGTTTCTTATAATTTTAGTTCACTGCATAGCGTATACATTTGAGTTAAGTTGAGGACTGATTGAGCACAAGCACAAAGAGACTTACTGCAACAATGCAAATGCAAAAATAATGTGAAATTACAATTTGTTGTTTACTATAGGAGTTTCTTTGTATGTACAAAATTAATTTAAGTAGTTAATAGATAGCCGCGAGACCTGGTAGCAAGTACACAAGGCAAAGCGTCTGATTGCATTTAGAGTGGAAGATGCTAGCGTAACTCTTGTTGTCCTCACTACAATTTATCGCACAGCCTCCACGTGGCACCGCTGGATAGTTTGCTGGTATCCGCTGGATAATGAACTAATAGTGCGTACAGCGAGTCCCATCTCCAGAACTTAAAGATTGTGTTGTGTACGTAAAATCAGGCGCCAGTAAAGGTCGGTATCAGGCCGAGACCTGGTAACGGGTTATTGTAGCCATTTAAGAACAAGAAGAAGGATATGCCCATTTACTATTCACACCATTTTCAATTTCTGATGAAATTATTTCAGTAAATGAGGAGTTTTATTTTTTCTGTGTTATAGTTTCTTTATTGTTCCTATTTTTCCCCACTTGTGTTATTGTTGTAATGTGTGTATGTATACGCAATAGCGAGTTTGAGTAAATGTTCAGGTTCTTTTACCTGCTGCAATTGTTTTATATACTTGTTTGCATTTGCAAGAATAAATGACAGCAAACAGTAAGTGTGTTAAAAAATTATATATGTATATATATAAAATAGCAAAGTTAATTAAATAGGTAATATTAATTATTACTTTTGATAAGCTGGATTTCTTTTACTTAAATTTCGAGCGATTTTCAATATCTGGTTAAAATATTTTTTTAATGATGTTGAAAGTTTTAAATCTCTTAATCAGTAGATTAGTAATCAGTAAAGTGCTATTTATTGACTGATTTAGTTCGCTATATAATGGCCAATTTATTTCGCTTTAAATACTGCACCCAGGGCAACTCTATCGTTTACAACTACATCGCACCACTTCTGTATTTAATTTATAGTTCAAAAAAACGTACAAAGATAGAAACGAACTTCTTTGGGAGTCTCTTTATGAAACTACACAGAAATTTAGGGAAGAAACAATAGAATGTATAACCAAACTATTATCCCACTGTGTTGCCATAGAAAAAAAATCAGAGGTTTAAAAATCATCTTTAACAAAGCTTAAAATTGTCTTTAGAAGCAGGTGCTGGATTTGGTCAAGATTCTCAAAAATGAAAGCCCCTAACAAATCAGATGTGAGGCAGTAACAAATCAGATGTCAGACACTTTCGTCGTCAACTATACTGTTTAAAATAAAAAATTTAGACAATTCTTTGGCGAAACCAGAATATAAAATAGATCTATTTTCAAATATAGAAGTTAATCTACTTTTAAAGACATAGACTTGTCAGATTCGCTTTTTTATATTTAAATGGGTGAAATAGACTTTCTTAGATTAAGGTTGTTCGTGTACTACATATATAGAACTTTTCCCATTAAGATGATTCTTAAGGTCTGGCGTATGGACGGTGTCTCATCTCGAGTATTACGACAGGCTACAATAAATATCTTTTAAATTAAGGCACAAAAAAGAGTGGTAACATAGTAGTCAAAGTAGAAAATTGACAATTGAGTTGAGACTGTAAGTATAACATGGCTTAAGCTTAATAATGAGCATAACTGAATTAAAGGTATTCACACCAAATTTGTCAAATCGGTATTCGGTTAATTTATATGTATAATCTGTGGTACCGAGTTATGTTTAAATACGCGTATACTCGTATAATTTGCTCTCTAAACCTTATTGCACTCTATTTAATTCGAGTTATAAAAAATTATAGAAGTTATAGAAGTTCAAGTTAGGGAAGTTTGATTGTATTATAATATATATAATTCATTAATTTAAAAAAAGTTTTTTGCCACGAATTAAACTTCTTAAGTTCAATCATTGAGTTTCGGTTTAAAGACCCGTATTATATTAAGCATTGGAAATCAATACTATGATTATAATTTAATTTCTGACTAAAACTTGAAATTGTAAAATTTCTAACCTAATCCGATTATTGTAAAATATTAAATCTAATCCGCAAATAAACATTTTTATACAAAAACTACCTACAAATACTAATATTTTAATTTACCACAATTTTAATGTAATTAACTTACTTCACCTCGAATTAAATTCCTAAAATTCACCTAATGAGGTGACTAAAGTCATTGAGAAGATAATTTCATTAGCAAAATAACATTAATATCATTGCTCAATCATAAAGGAATTTCATTAATAAAATAGAAAAAATACAACAAATCACAATGAAGTGAGAGAAACTCAATTATAATTAAAGAATAAAGAAAAAAGAAAAAAATTCAAATTTAAGTGTTCACTAAAATTTAATATGAAACACTTTATGTGAACTTCTACCTGCTGCTATTAAGCATCTGTTTTAATTAAATGCATGAGAAACCATTTCACAAACATCTTAGAAAAATTTGTTTAGTATATTTATATTAAATTTAACCCTTAAGAAAACAAAAGAAAAATCTACTTCGATTTCAAACAAAGGAAAAAAGTCGTAGATTTACTTAAAGCGGAAAACATGCCCACCACACTTTGTTTCTATTGTAAGTACTGCTTCTGCTATTGTTGTTGTTGCTGCTGCTGCTGCTAGCATTGATGTTATTGTTGTACAATGTTTGCTTGATATTTATGAATGTACGACGTACATACATATATATATGTTTATGTTTGCATACGTTTGTATGTTGTATGTACGTACGTATGTATATATGTATGCATACATATGTTTGTGTGTTTGTATGTAGAAAAGTACTTGTTAGGCTGTACTCGAATCAGTTGAGACGTTTACAAAAACACAAAGAGATTCGAATTCGACTCAAAGCTGAACTGAAATATTCTGCGTAAAATATGCTTTGTTCACAAAAAAATTATTTTTCTTGTTTGCTATCAAATCACCACAGCACAAAACACATGTAAAGATAAGCAGTAACAACGGCTGTAGCAGCAGCAGCCGCAGTAACAGAAAAAAACAGCAACAGTAAAAGTCTAATTGACGTATTGATAGATGGACGAATGGGAATAATAAATTTAAAATTTGCATACACTTAAATTTTATTTATATTTATACAAAAAAGAAAATAAAAAATTTTTTATCAAAAATAAAAAAAAAATATTTTTCTTTTTGAAAAAAAAAAGTAATTTAAATTTGTACTCACTTTTCGCGATGAAGCAAACATATGCGATCCTTAGCCACTTTTAATTTTTTTGCTATTATTTTTTTGAGACTTTCCACGGAAATTTGTGGATCGACAGTCACACTAAAATTACCACCAGTTGTGGTATTTATGTTTAAATTAATTGGCGGTAATGTTGTTGTGGAAGTGGAAGTTGCAGTGACGGGTAGAATAGCAGCACCTAATGTGGTTGATGGCGTAATTGTGTTGTTGGTAGGGGGTGGCGTTAGAGCTGTTGTTTGCGGGGAGGCAGTTGCTGATGCTGCTGATCCATTATTACCAACAGCCGCCGATGGACCACACCCTAGGCTGATGTCACGAGTTTGTGCTTGAGGCGTTGGCGCATCACTGGAACTACCGCCACCGTGATTCCCACTACTTGTATTACTTGAGTCTGTAGATTTATCCATTTTTTATCAATTTTTATTTTAAATTTTGCTTTCTGTTTTCACACGATAAATTTTTATTAATTAATTTTCTTCCCTTTTGATTATATTATATTAAATATAAATTTTTTCAATAAAAGCTTATTTGCAAATATATGTACACTGGTAATTTGATTTAATTTATTTTTTTCTGTTAAAAAAAAAAATTAGGGTTTTATATATTTTTTTTTTTTTTGAATAGTAAGGTTATTTGTATTTAAAATTTCTTTATTTGTACAATTTAAATTTTAAATCACTTAACACAAATACACAAACGATTATAAACAAGTATGTAATCGATCGATTTCCCCACACCTTGTGGTTTGATATATGATGCTGTGCTTTATAGGCCGTCGCTGCTTTAAGCAACGTTTTTTGACTATTGCGAAATCGAAACGCACAAAATATATATAAAAAAAAAATTTATTAAACTAATATGTACACTCAAACACACACACACGCACGCACGAGGTGTATAACGAAATTATTAAAGCAAAAAAATTTTTAATCAAAAAATGCTCCAGCGCACACTTTATAATTTTCACCAAATCCTATTTGCCAACCGAACGCACTGACGAGCAACGAGCAACTGGCTTATTTGAGACAGCGTTTTAGATTTCTTGGCCAAAAAACAAAAAAAAAAAAAAAACAAAACACAACCATTTATAAATTCAACTAAAAAAATGTGGTATAACGCCAGCGTAGACGAGATATATCGCGCAAAAACAAAAGCAGCAAGCATGCAGCAGCACGCCTGTTAAGCCGGTAAAGTTTAACAAGCTAAAGTGACGTCAGCGAATTTAACAGCGCGTCGTTGCTAACAGGAGCAGTGATGTGACGTCGTTGTTTTGTTTGTTTAAAATTTCCCCACAGCTTTTTCCTTATATAAAATTATAAAATCAGAGAACGGAAAGAGAGAGCGTGTCTAGCTGTTAAATAGTGTTTATAGATTTGCGCCACGACACTTGCTGCTCTACTTCAGCGCACACCACAGACTTTTCAGTACGACGGCCAATACAATATAAAAACAAAATGCCCAACGTCATAACATCATCATAACAGCACAATGTGTTCTGTGGGTAAAGTGCATTTACACAATTTTTGAACTTTTGCAGAGAGCATATTGTGTTAAAATGGTTTTAAATAAGTGTACTATTTATATACCGATTTTTTATTGCTTATAATTTATATTTTTATATAAAATATTTGCTTTATATGCAAATGAATTTATTATAAGTTACAAAAATGTTTATTATAAATTATTAAAATATATTTAAATCAATTAATTATTTATACATTTAAGGTTGTTTGAAGAGCACGATGAAAATGTGTATATTTTTGTACGAAATATTCTCATATAAAAGCAAATTTATTGCAAATTAAATAAATTAATTAACTAAATCTTTATTATATCAAAGAATGAAATATATGTATTTATTTTTATGCAATTTATACTTATATGAAAGTGAATTCATTGCACATTATTAAAATGTTTATTGCAAATGATTAAAATATATTTAAATTTATTTATTTGTGAGTTAACACTAAAATTAATTTTAAAGTTAACTAAGGATAGGGAACTGGACTTCTAGGTCCTGCGTCCTGCAAAAATAAATAAATTATTTACAAAATTAAGGTTATTTAAAGAGCACGAAGCAAATGTTAGTATTTTTATACAAAATATTGTCAAATAAAAACAAATTTACTGTAAATTATTTTTAAAAATGAATAAATTTATACATATATATATATTGCTTTTTAATAGTCTAATGTAAAAATGTATTCCTCCATATAACATAACAGCGTAGAAACATTAAAAATATTAAATTATTAAAAATATTATTGTTATTTTAAAAATTACATTCATTTACTTAATAAGTATATCTTTGTATATTTTTTCTTATATTTCTTTCATAATTCAAGCATTAAAGTAAAATGGCTCTTATAAACATTATCTAAGTAATTTTAGTTAAATAAGAGTAATATTAAAATGAATTTATTAATGACAATATTTATCTCATACATTAAAGCAATTCTAGCAATTAAAATCAATATAAAAATAGAGATTAAAACCATTTTTAACACAAATGCAATTTTTTTTTTTGTTGTACTAATCCAATTTCACGTGGTAAAATTTTAACGTTGGCATCACTAAAAACTCAACTGATGAATTGTTTTTGATTGTTTTTGTTTTTTGTTTGCTGAGCGTGTGGTGGATTTTTAAAAGTCATTTGCATATAAAAATATAATTTTATTTAAATTATATTAATATCTTTCACCAAATATGTAGATGTTTCAGTTTTAATTTATATTATTAACATTTTCAATGACACTAATAGTTCATTTTTTCACTTATTAAAGTTTTTAATATTACAAGGAAATAGTCAAATCACTATGAGTTAGTTTCACGTTTAAATAAACTAATTATTTTAATTAATTATTCACTGTAACTAAAATATTTCAACACTGAATAAATTTAAACAATCATCAAATTATTTTCTAATTTAATTAATATATTATTGCTTACGAATTTAAAACGTTACTACCTGCCCGGCTTTTATTCACAACTATCGCAATTGCGTTCAAAAGAAAAAAAACATTGTCAAACAAGTTGTTTAGAATGGCAGTGTTGCCATGACTTACAAATTTTTTTCATTGAGTAAAATGCACTACAATAGTGTTCTGTTTATATCGGGCATAGGTTTCAGTGTAAATACTCTTGTTGTTTTTGATATGTTTGCATTTGTGAATTAAAAGTTTGATACAAATTCTTAATAATCATTTCGGTGACTTCCCCATTTTATACTTTTATGAAATTTTGTTGATTATTTTACTCTTACACTCACACACAATTCAATTAAACTATATAATAAAATAAATTAATAATATCTTAGTTACAAAGATTTTATATTTTATAATTAATTATAATAAAATATAATAAATAAATAAATAAAATATAAATAATGTGAAAATTCTTGGTTTACTAATTTTTTTATTTAAAAAAAATGGTGATGAGGTGCCAGAAGTCATGTTAGTTTTTTTTTATATTGGAGCTGTAACCAATTGCTTGAAGTTACGATATATATTATAGTTTATTTTCAATGAAAAGCTGATTACAGTATGGTTGGGGCCAATGTTGTCGAAGTGGTGGCTATAATTGAAACAATAATGGAGTAGTCTTTTTAACACATGTTTCTTAAGCACAATATATATTAAAATAGAATTATTAAGAATTAATAAGGAAAGTAATATATTAATAAGAATTAAAATAACATTTTTCTCTGTTTATTTTTTGAATTGTATGTTATTGTTTATAACAAACATTTTGCATAGAATAATAAATATACTACTAGAAGTTCTAAAAAATTAATTAAATAAAACTTTTTAATATAATTTTCATCGTATTTTATAATAATACTTTATATTCTTAAACGGGCTAATTGGTCAATAGTTAAATAATATACTTTCTGAAATTAGCTCATTAAAAAACAAAAATATTATTATTTATAATTTCCTTTTTGTATATATTTTTAATTGTAACATTGAGGTTAACTTAATAGATATACATAAATTCTTTAAAATATTCTCAAACACACGATAGATGCAAAACAAATCAATTTCCTTAATCTAGTTCCAACAATCAAGAAATATAAACGTGTTATTAATAAAAAATTAGTTGTTAGTACTAGGGTTAAGAATAAAACGTATACGGTATTCTTTGACATACGGTCTTATTGACTATTGTAACCTGACCTTTAATTTATAACACTATTGTGAATTTATATAAACGCAGTCACCTGTATGAATTTCAAAATATTTTTAAAATTTTTGGAAGGAATGAAGAAGACATGTAGCTAAGCAACACAATTTTATTTATTCCAGAACATTCGCTTTTGGTAATTGATTTGAAGTAAGAATTTGTCGCAAGATGAGTAACGAAAATCGACCACAAGTTTCTGATATTCCAACTGAAGTTTCTGATAGTCCAGCAGCAGAGATTTGTGAGAATATAACTGAAGCCTCTGATATGCCAACAGTGGTGCGTGATAATATAGCAGAAGCCTCTGATAGTCCCAAAGAATTTTCTGATAGTTCACCAGCAGCAGTTTGTGATAATATAACCGACGCTTCTGATATGCCAACAGTGGTGAGTGATAATTTAGCAGAAGCTTCTAATATGCCACCAGTGGTGCCTGATAATATGGTTGGTGCTTCTGATATTCCTAAAGAAGTTTCTGATATTCCAAAAGAAGCTTCTGATATCCCCAAAGAAGCTTCGGAAAGTTCAACAGCAGCTGTTAGTGATAAGGAAACAGAAGCTATTGACATGTCAGTAGTGGTTCGTGATAATATAGTAGAAGTTTGTGACAATTTGCAGTCAAAAGATTTGCGCAGCAGAAAGTTTGCGCTAATAACGATTGACTTTGTTGTCGAAAAAAGTAAACTCTCTGAAGAATTGTTGGTAACATTTTTTGATGGAGTCTATTTGCATTTGCTGCAATGCTACAGTGATCGCTATGAATTCATGCGCGAAGGCGGCATAAAAGGTGTAACCAAATTTGTGCTGCGGATGCCGCCAAATGATTTCCATTTGGTGAACATTTTGACAATAATCGAGGAACGCATGGGGCAACAGGAGACTTTGGAAAAGAGCGAAGAGATACGTTTGGAATTGATAAAACAATTACATGAAATTCTAGGATACTTCATAAAAAATGGAAAGGTGCTTTCACTGCAGGCATCCTATGACAAAATAGTTTGTGTATTAAAGAAAGCTGTGCGTGATGATTATCATGTGGTGAAGCGTGAAGCTTTCAATTGCATTGTTACTGTGTCACAAAAGGTGGATACGTACACGTTTCAAGCGCACGTAGAGCCTTTGGCTAAAGCAATATATCCCGCTTTGAATCACAAACATGCTGAAGTGCGTCGAAATGCTGTCAAAGCTTTGGCACAACTTGCTTTGCATATCAATCCAAAAGAAGAGGCATTATCGCAGCTCATAATGGAAGTGTCACCATTGCTAATGGATTCGATGCCACTGGTACGTCGCGAGGTTGGAGAAATGGGTGTACTGATGTTGCTAGAGTTGCGGGATCGCTATTCATATTTTGAACGCATTTTGCCGCTTGTGTTGTCGTGGTAAGTAAATAATGAAAATTATGCAAGTAGAAATAACATTTACACCTTTTTTATAACAGCTTGGCGGATACTACACCTGAAGTAGTGAACTACATACAGCCTTTGTGGGTTAAGTGTGGCAGACAGTATTTTGATGAAAATGAAGCGGAATTGCAGAAGCAGGAAATTGCAGATTTGCCGGTTGTAAATTATCCAATTAATGTTCAGCGACCAACGATTGGTTGCCGTGCGCTTGTGCAACGTACGTTGCGCGTACTTATGCTTATCACACGCGAGTCCACAGATTGGAAGGATAACGTTCGTATGCATTCACTGAAATTACTCTATCAATACGTATTGCATGCAGAAGCCGCTATGACAGCTAAATTTTTTGAGATCTTCCCGGAAATATCACGTGCCTGTCGAGATGAAGAAGTGGAGGTGAATAAAGAAGCCTATAAGGTTGCTGATATTATGGGACGTTTGTTCTCCTACGCTGATTGGTGTGAACATGGTTTCGATGGACTGGCTAAAAACGCTCGGGAGGGGTATTTGAAATCTTTCTATTATATGTTTAAGGTGTCGTGTGGAGTTAAAGAGGAGGATTTACTACGAGTTTCAAGAATTTTGATTGAACCGGAGTTTTCACAATGCTTAAAGGTAATGTTTGATAGTAAGTCTAAGTTGCATATTTAGCTGTAGACAAAGTAAATGACCTTAGCAGTTGTAATTGTATACATAACCATACAAGCATAGTACCAGGACTTTCCATATAAGCGAAATACTAGGACTATCCATATAAACTTAATATATAATATATTGGATATTATATATGGATATTAGAAGATTATTATTAGAGTGTATTGGATACTCTATTAAAGGAATTATTATGTGTAAGAGAGCGCCTACGAGTAAGAATAGAAGTGCATGCTTGAATGAAGAACCTTTTACTTATACCATAATTGAATCCTGGTACATCCATATTCCCGGTTTATACATCGTCTGTCTGAATTTAAATATAACAATAATAGTAGTGATTATATATATCAAAGCCGTATCAAGCCCGTAACAGTGATATTGTCACCAGAAAAAATTCACAACAGGCTCTCACCTAACATTTATCAGGAAAAATATCGACTTCGCCGTGCAGCAAGAACTGTGCTAGCTCAATTGAGATCAGTATATAGTCATCTGCTAATCAGTTATTGTCACGTCTATTCCTAATGTGTGCCCAAACTGCAGCTCTGCTCCTCTAGACTTTGCTTATCTGTTCTCTTGCTCCACTGCACACACAAATCTCCGTCCAACCGATCTTTGGACCCGCCCCATTGAGGTGGTCAGGTTTCTCCGTCTGGACTTGAGTTGATTTTAATTTAAACTTTATCCAATTTCAGTCGTCAATCTCAAGGAGATCTTTGGTATTCTAACGCTAACATTAATTTGACTCCAATTGATCTTTAGCTACTCTTCACCATGACTTTGTCTATATGTTTTTATGTCATTATACACATAACAATTTTGATCCAATTGATCTTTGGCTTAAAAGAGAAAGGCGTAAAAGAGAAACGGTTTCTCTACCTTAACACTGGTTAGCTTCAATTATAATTTCACACATCTCTAATCCACATATGTTCAGCAACAGTCCATTTCTCTTAACACTTCTACCCTATATCTTAACCCATGTATTTGGAGTTGTAATTCCTTTCATATTATCTACTATATGGATCTTCATCACCATTTGGATTAATAATTCTTCCTTCGTATTATGGATTCATCTACATGTATTGCAAAGCTAATGGTAGTAAGGTTAACTTTTTCCTCTCTGCCTAAAAATCGAAATTGGGCACCTTGTACCTATACTTACAGTAACTTCCGCACTCCAAAGCACTAGTTTTGGAGTATTATCTCTTCTAAAGGTCACTTCGGTGTAGAGCAACTACTTATACTCCATTCATTATTTGATTGAGTTCTTTCTTTAGTTATTTGATATCAATGTCTTTCTTCTCTTTTCAGATCTATTTTCAAGACTACGTCATAAAGTTGGTTCAGGTTATTTTAAAAAAATGTAATATAAATACCATGGACCCAACTGATAATACAATAGATATATCAAACGATAATTTAACCTTAAGCGTTGATATAGCTGATGAGTTTTTAAAAAATGTCTACATCACTACAATGAAAGTGATGGCCTTGTCGTATGAATCTGAACATAGTATAGCGCGTGATATAAAGATTAGAGGTTACTCAATATTACAACAGCTGGCAGAGAAACGTGGCACCACTATTGATGGTTTACATGAAGAGCTATTCACTAGTGCCTTAGCTTATGTGGTCGATTTGGATGCACCAATTGATGAACGCAGTGAACCGTTGCTGTTGTTTTATGGTTTAATCGCTATTGGCAATTTCCATCATACGTACATGGAACAGTTGAAGTCGAAAATACTATTAGTTTGGAAGCATTATAAGAATATGGCTAAGATCAAAGTGTTTAGCGCTATATCTATAGCAATGTTGAAGTGGGAAAACACAGTAACTACAGCGCTTAGTGTTGAGAAGAGTGCAGAAATATTGAAAGATTTCGTAGATATCATTGTGGTACCACATTTACTTTGGCGTGCTGGTGCACATGCAGAGGCTATGCGTACCTTTGCCACTGCCACAATATGCACGATTTCTCAAGGTGCTCCGGCGGAGGCTAAAATTATACTACCAAAATATATTGGCTACATGAGTAATCTATTGGAGGACAACTCAACTGCTACACGCCATAATGCTATCAAATGTTTGTTCAATTTTGGTGAGATACCTGTCGAGGATTTACGTTTAGCTGCTTATGGTAAAATTGTTACTTTAAAATAGTTTCCACTTAATTTATGTTTACCTAACATTTTAGCTACACTGCAAAGATTAGATGATCCATCTGCTGATATACGTGTACTGGCTATCCATGCTATTCCACACTTAAAGCCAAAATTCGAAAAGGCAAAAGGAGAGGAGGGAGAATATGAGCATACCATTTGGGAGACGTTCATAGAAAGAGCAGTTAATATGTTCCTTCTACATTACGAAGGACCGGAAAAGCGTGTACAAGCAGCTATAAAAAGTTAGTTATTAATATATAATTACTAAAAATTTTATTAAATTAAAATATTTTTATAGTTGCTTTGATTGAACTCTCCAAAACATATCCCAAAATATGTCAAAATTGTTACAAAAAGACAATATCAATGACTTCCGTTGACTCAGAGCTTGCTAAGTTGGGAAATGAGCTATCGATTAATACATAGACTGTTTAATATAATTTCTTTATAAATTTAAATTAAGCTTATTTATTTAATGAAACAAATCATTTTATTATATTTGTTAATTATAAATAATTTGTAATTTTCTTTTTTTTTTAATAAATTGAACTACTATTACCACATGGCGCGTTGTACACCAGACAATTTATTGTAATCTGCCAAATGTCGCCATACGATACGACTCAATCTATACTTGTGCACCACTCCTCTTGGTCTTGATGTCAGCGCACAACGTTCACGTACTCGTACTAGCGACGAGTCCCGCGGAAAAGCTGCTATTTCCACATCGGCCACTTCACGTAGTTCTGCAGGTAGTATATCGTTTTTACGTAGCGCGTTGACGCGCAGCCGTTCCTTTGCGTGTTCCGCGACACATTTTCGACGCTTCACATCGCGTATCATTTTCCAATCTGCATATTTGGTGCGCACTTGTTGCAACTAAAATTAATAAATGTTCAATATATTTTTCCTTTTCAATTCCGTCCAATGTTTGGAACCATTTAAGTAAATATATGAAAATAGAATTACTTACACCACAACCGGCGATTTGCACTGACTGACAGACGAAGTTACTGACTCTGGCCAGGGAGTTCATTTTTAATTAATAAATTTTAACAAATAATTGTTAATTATTTATTATTGCGGTTACGAAAATTAACCTATTACATATACTCCGGAATACAGCTCCAGACAGCTGCTTCTGCTAAAATTTGTGCAAGAAACTGTCAAATTTGACGTTTACTGGTGCAGTTGAGTTAAGTGATGCCATATTTTTATTTTACAAATGTTATGACTGCAGTCACGTCATGGCAATTGTTGTTGCTTTGAATGTAACATGAAAACTTGACACTGACAGCTCATTTACTTTTGCATTAAAAGCAACAACAATTGGGGACTGTGATTGCAATCATAACCCCCAATTCATTTAATATTTGCTCTAGCAACGTTAAACACACTATGTTAAGGTTTTTACCTTATGTATTCATTAGTTGAAAATTATGCATGCTCATCTGACAATCTATATCTATGTCACATGAAACCTACTTATATCCAGTCATATTATCTTATTCCGTTCTAAATGGTAAATGATATTTAGAAAAACAATGTTTCCACTGCAGCTAAATCAATTTATGTTAATCAAATTAAGATTTGGAATTTTCCATTAATATAAGTTGATTTATGCATGTGAAATAGTTTTTATTTTTGGCAGAAAGTTGTACAAAAGTTCTAGGAAAGCTTCTCTTTGTTTACATTTCAATTATAAGCATATAATATTTAGTTTTGCATTGTTAGCAAAAATTATTTAATTTAGCATGGAAAACGTAGAAAATGCAAACAATTTAATAAAGCAAGATTTTATCTGAAATAAATAAATTTCACTCAATAATATATCACACAAAGAATTGAATGTGTAATTATATATCAATTAAATCATTTATATATAGTATACATATTTTTTTTATATCTATTATATATTCAATTAATATAAACAAATATTTTATTAAGAATTTATTTATTTTATTAAATACTTACTTTCTCAGTACGTTTTCCTTAAATATTTAATTTGATGTGAATATACCATAACATTACTTATCGCAAATATATATATTAAAAATCTGGTTTTGATGTGCATTATTTATATGAATAATATATGTTAAGTATTTTTAATACGAAAAAAATAAATAACACCTTTATAAAAATAAACTCATTGTTTTTACTTAATAATTTAATAATAATAATAAAATGTTTTCGTATTCCAATAGTACATTCATAGTGTCTAATTTAGGCACTTGCTCATTTATATTAATAAGTGAACATTCACATTATAATGAGCTCATTCAATTAATAGAACTTTTATAAGCTCAACTTGATAATATATCACACGAAAAAATTAAACATATAATTGATATATTATATCATTTATATACATTTTTAATATCACTTTAATTTTAGGTAATTTTCGTTGCGGTTAATTTATTTTTAAGGGTTACACTTAACATTCGTCGTCTTAAATTAGCTATTTTATTGATAATGAGCTCATTTATATAAAAGCATTTTGTATAGTATATCATGCTCATTAGTGGCTATAATGAGCAAAACCACCTAAATGAGACAGTATTAATGTGCTATAATTGATTAAATTTTTTATTGTTGTTAAAAATAAAAATTAAGAAAAATAACCATGGTATATTTTATAATAATTTTTATTTCATCAATAATAATAAATGTTTAATATTTTTTTAAATCATTTTACGGCCTTGTGCGAGTTCGAGTAAATTGATGGTAAATTGAGGAAAATAGTAAATTATGTCGTTATGGCAGCGAATGTTGGTATTTACTAGAATTTCGAGTAGGGTAAATTATATAAAAATGAGATAAATAGGTATTATCATTGTGACAATTTTATAGATGGTTAGAAAATATATAAATATTTAATAAGTACAATAAATAAATATTTATATAAGTGCAGTGCTAAAAATCCCCAAAAAATTTTAATTTACTTTACCTAAATTTATTTGAACTCGCACACGATCTATGCATGCAATGTCAATGTATAAAAGCTGTACTTTATTAGAAGTAAAAACTTTTGAAAATTAATTTAAGTGGCATCACCATTAAATCTGCGTTGGTATTTGTGTATATGATTTTCGTTTGTGTATTGGTGTCTCATATTCTTTTTTGTCAAAAGGGAACCTCGATTTGCTCGTGGTCAGGTTTCCACGGTATATTTTGTAATATATATCAATTCCGCAGAGTGGAAATTGAACGAAATTTGTACTTTGGTCAATAAACAATATTGAGGAGAGCACGAGTATTGATTTGAAAGCCGGTTAAAGATGCCTTCCAGCGATCCACTGCCGCCCAAAGAGAGTGCGCTTTTCAGAAAGCTGCTGGTAGGTTTGCCGCTTCATAACGTTGATCATGCTATAATCCACAATATTCTAAAAATAATTATTTTAAATTTATTGTGTTTTAGTTTAAAATAATTAATGTATTTATGTACACTGTTGATAATTCATTTATTATGTATGAACTGCTTTGAGGTTTTGTGGGTGTGGGACAGTGTAGTGTTTTCCAAAATGTAACCAATAAGGAAGTCTACACGTAATACTACTATTGATGAGGTTGCGTTTATTTTATATTGCTAACTTAACAATTTCTTTCAAATTCTAATAAAATTTATTTCTTAGAAAAAGATTTTTACATAACCTCAAAGTAGCGTAGTCTTATGTTAAAAATGTATATAATGACTTATTATTGTAATATATTTATGATATATTAATTGCAGAAATGTTACGAAATGAAACAGTACAAGAACTGCTTGAAATTAGCCAAGCAGATTCTATCCAATCCAAAGTACACTGAGCATGGCGAGACGCTTGCGATGAAGGGCTTGACGTTAAATGGTTTAGGTCGACGTGATGAAGCCTATAAATATGTACGCCTGGGACTACGTAATGATTTGCGTTCACATGTGTGTTGGCATGTGTATGGCTTATTGCAACGGAGTGATAAAAAGTACGATGAAGCTATTAAATGTTATCGAAATGCGTTGAAGTGGGAGAAAGATAATTTGCAAATTTTGAAGGATTTATCATTGCTGCAAATACAAATGCGAGATCTGGAAGGTTATAAGGAAACACGTCATCATCTGTTTACATTACGACCCTCGCAACATGCGTCTTGGATCGGTTTTGCAATGAGTTATCATTTGTTGGGTGACCTAGAAATGGCTAACAGTATTCTAGAAACATTTAGTCAATCCCAGCCCCCAACTGTGAGTAAAAAGTGATATGAATATTATAAATAAAAAATTTTAATATTTGTTTTTATTTATGTTGACTATTTCAAAGGAACCACATGATTACCGTCAGTCCGAATTGTTGCTTTACCAAAATCAAATATTAATTGAAGGAGGAAATCTAAATCAAGCGGTAGATCATCTAAAAAAGCATGAGGTTCATATTGTCGATAAGTTAGCAGTACAAGAAACTTTGGGTGATCTCTATATAAAATTGGAACAACACCATCTCGCAGTACCCATATTTGAACAGCTCATTAATCGTAATCCGGAAAATACATTTTACTACGAACAGTACTTCGCAGCAAACAAAATTACTACAGCAGAGGAGAAATTAGCTGCTTTTACAAAGTTTCAGGAAAATTTTAAGCGCTCCATGTGTCCGAAACGTTTACCACTTGATGTAGCCACAGACGAAGTCTTCCAAACAGTGTTAGATGATTACTTACGACAAGGTTTGCGAAAGGGTGTACCACCACTATTTGTAAATATACGTTCACTACATCGTGATCCTGAAAAGACAAAAATCATTGAAAAACTTGCGCTACAATATAATGAGAATTTAATAAGATCAGGCCATTTTTCACGCGAGGATGCGGATAAAAATTTACCCGCAGAACCGGCGTCAGCTTTGGTGTGGACTACATTGTTCTTGGCGCAACATTACGATCATAAGCGCGAAACAGAGAAAGCATTGGAATTTGTGAATGCTGCCATAGAACATACGCCTACGCTAATTGAATTATTCATAACTAAAGGTAGAATTTACAAACATGCTGGAGATGTGGTCGAAGCTTATATGTGGCTAGATGAAGCTCAGAGTATGGATACTGCCGATAGGTAAGTTAGCATAATATAATAATAATTTAGCATTGTGCTTAAATAATTGTGGTTTTTAACAGGTATATAAACTCCAAATGTGCTAAATATATGTTGCGCGCCAACATGGTGAAAGAAGCTGAGGAAATTTGCTCGAAATTTACACGTGAAGGTGTGTCTGCCATGGAAAACTTAAATGAAATGCAGTGCATGTGGTTCCAAACGGAATGTGCGATGGCATATCAACGAATGGAACGTTGGGGTGATGCACTGAAAAAATGCCACGAAGTCGATCGACATTTTCAGGAAATTATTGAAGATCAATTCGATTTTCATACTTATTGCATGCGTAAAATGACATTACGGGCTTATGTAAGCTTACTGAGATTAGAGGACGTACTTAGGCGCCATCCATTTTATTTTAAAGCTGCGCGGTGTGCTATAGAGGTAGCTTGGTCATTTCAAAGATATAATATTGTGTTTCTATTTAGTATTCTATATGTATACATCTATATTTTATTTTATTTACAGGTTTATTTGAGATTGTACGATAAACCTTTAAAATCTGAAGAAACCATTGAAGAAATCGATGTTGGTATGTTGATTTTTGTAAAAACACTTATGTGTATATGTACAGTAAAATCTCTGTTAAACTGTTAACTATAATTTTTAAACATGCAATGTTATTAGATAGCTTTAATTTGTCTTATAATGTATATTCTTTAAAACGACGTTAAGTTTCATTTGCTGAATAGATTGACTGATCTCATCATTATCCGCTTAGGAAAAGTTTTACTGTATATATAATTATTTTCATTATATTTGAAATTAATTAATTTAATTTTTTAGAGAATCTGCCTCCCTCCGAACTGAAGAAATTACGTAGCAAGCAACGCAAAGCTAAGAAAAAAGCGGAACTCGAAAGTGCGCAAGCAGCACAAGCGCAAGTAAAGCGTGAACAACATCAAAAATCGAAACAGCAAGGAAATCAGGAAACTGATCCAGAAGCACCATTATTAGATGAATTAATACCTGAAAAACTTGAGAGGCCAGATGATGCTTTAGAGAAAGCTATAGATTTTTTGAAACCACTGCAACTTTTAGCCAAAGAACGTATTGAAACGCATTTACTGGCATTTGAAGTTTATTATCGTAAAAATAAATTACTTCTTATGATACAGTCAATCAAGCGTGCGATTGCAATTGATGCAAAACATCCTGAGGTGCATACGTGTATTATTAAGTATGCACAATCATTACCGAAGTTAACAATTGATCTGAATGCCAGTGTTAAAGTTGTCGTTGACAAGGCAACCAAAGAACTGATAGGTACACAAAATGTACTCCAGCTAAACCAAGAGTTCATAGCTAAGAACAAAGATTCAATTTTGCATTTATATGAAGGCGCTAAAATAATGTACAATTTAGAACCGAATAACAGAGATGCGGCTCTCAAATTAATTACCTCTTTTGATATGAATAAAGTTACACTCGAGGTAAGATTTATTTTTAACTATATTTTATGATACTTATAGATATTTATAGTTGTGGACAGATACTTAAAATACGCCTAAAAAAGATACTTCTTCATAAAGAAATAATGTGGTTAAATGTAACAGTTTTTGTTTTCTTATTGTCTGTCAATCTTATTGTCTTATTTTGGGGTTCAAAAAGGAAGATCTCGTGTAAAATATACAGAATGAATGAATGTTACTACACTCAATGGCGTTATTGTCGATTAATTTAAGTTCGGTGATGGAAATACTTTTGTATTTATAAAGAATTCTAATTAATCTATAGCACTTATAGTATTTATTGGGTTAAAAAGTGATCTTTAAATTATTAAGGATTACGGTAAAGGAACTTCACTACTATAGTCCACCACTACTATAAGATGTACTTCATTACTATTATGGGACAATAAAAAGTTATATACTAAAAAATAGCTGAAACCGGTTTTACTAGGTTTCTTTTTTTTTGTTGCATTCTTGTCTTTCTTCACTGAAATCCCATATATCAATAGTAAGAACATGGTTTGATTTGAGTTTAGTTATAGAAATAGTTTTATAGTTGGAAAAAATTCTAATGGGGCTGTTTAACACATTATCTTGTTTTGGGTTACAAAAGTAAAGATCTGTCAAATATATAAGATTAGAGTAAAGGGTCTCTGTTACTCTGTTACTATACTATATGAGTTGCATTGATCAATGAATTTATTGGAATTTAATAATTAAAGTACTTTTATAATTGAAAATAATTTAAATGGGGCTATTGATCCTCAAACGAAGTGCTCAGACCTCTGAAACAGCTACATGAACTTCTGAACGAGCGTATGACAAGGAGAGCAAAGGAAAGGTCCTTTCCTTTGTGTACACTGAAAATGTTATATCCCTTAGCCGAAAGAACTGTAGAATGTTAATTGGTGTATTGACAGGTCACAGTTTGGTCGCATCATATGCGTACACGCTAAACTTAAATCGCAACGATGCTTATAAGAAATGCAACGAGCCGGATGTAAAGGAAACTCTGTATCATCTGCTCTGTAACTCTTTGGCTTATTCTAGAACTTGACAAAAATACTTGGGGGCTGTTAGTTTTACAGGACTTGAGCACATGCTTTAAATTGCTGTTAAACTCTTAAAACAACTCGCTGATAGGTTAGGTTAGGCTATACTAGCGATCTCTGGTAGATCCACTTAGGCCTAATGGTCCATTTTGTTGCCGTATATATAGGAAAAAAGAATTCCCTGATAACACGCGCATCCTTAGTGATGCCTACTGTCCCAAGCAATAAGATTCTGATCTGGTATTGTAAGAACCTTAATGGTCTATGCGTGGCCTTTTTGGCTTGCCAGCATAACCTAACATATTGATTCACAAAGCTAAAGATTTTTTTCTAAATTCTACTTTAAATCAATTATTTACTTTAATCATTTTATTTAAATCATACATTTAATTAATAATTTTTTCTTTGTTTAGGTTGCTTCCAAGATATACAAATCGCTGTGCGATGGTTTGTTTGGTAGTTGTGAATCTGAACTAGCGAACTACAAGGAAGCATGTCAAAAACGTTTCAAGTATGCACGCCTATTTAAGGATAATGTAGATAATTCTCCAACTGAGAATCATGTGGATAGCAAAGCGAAGAGTGATGAAAAGACTGCAGATTTGTAATACATGCAAAATAATCTGCACACACAATACAATAACAACAAAAAATCCACGAATACTATTAACAACTTAAACAATTACATTAATTACAATAATTAAGAAACTAGACCTACACTGAAACAATAACTACAACTGCTACTATGCAATAAGAATGTCAATGGTTAATTACTATAATATATGTAAGCTTTATTGCTGAACTCTATCTGTTTCGTATTACAATTTTTTAGTATAAAAGAATAAAAACAAATGATTAATTTAAAGATAAAAACAAAAACAAAAACAAAAAGAAGAAACACTTTAAATGAAACAAAGAAAGTATAGAAAACAAAACAAATATCAGCACTTCTGCGAAGTTATCAAATATGTTAATTGTACGAGAAAAAAAATACAAATTTTGCATACTAATTTTAACTCAAGATTCATATATATTATAAAAATAATTTATAATTTTTTTAACTCAAAAGCAAAAATTATATTATATACTTTATTATTTAAGTTCTCAGTTTGTTTAATTTTGTGTATAATTCGTATTTTATATGCGTTAATAAAACAGAAGTCAAGAGTCAAGAGAGTCGAGTCAAAGGAGTTGTAATTACTCAAAACAGTCGAGACAGAAAATAGAAAATTATACATTAAAATATTTAAATATGATATAAAAAAACAAAAAAAAATTAAATAAAATGAGTTAAGTCTTTAAGTGACATCATTATGAGTTTGTTTTTTTTTTTTCATTGTGCATGCTTTAATTAAATTTATTAAATCAATCCAAGTGATTCATTTGTGGTAGGAAACTGCATTGGTCCATATTCATAATGGCATTTTGTGAAAATGCAATAAAACTCTATCTATAATATAACTCTATAAATCTTTTGTACGTTAACTTTTTGTAGTTATAATTTATGTAGTTTATGGTAATTGTATTTGTTTAAGTTGTGATTTTCATCATAGAGCATAGTTAATTAACAAACAACAATATTTGTGTGTGATTCTCGCATATATAAAGAACAAACTCAATGGAATGTTTTTTTTATAGAATTAAATGAAGTTTCAGTTTTGAAAAGTCAAACTCAAAGTAAAGATAAAAGCAAAAGTAAAAGTAACTAGAAATGTTGTAACGTTGTAATCAAATACGATTCCAATGAGTGTACATACAAACAAATACAAACACAAACATTATTAAAAACAAAAACAAAAACTCATTAAAACTTACTAACATGGCTAAAAAGTGTGTTAAGCGAATTGCTAACTTATTTTAATACAAATACCAATTTTATGTTCATTGTTTTATTAACGAGATATTTTATTTTTAATTATAATTTGCTGTCAGGTTTAAGTATCAAAAACCATAAAAATAAAAAATAAATGCAATAAAATCAATGTTTTAATACCTAAAAAAAAAAAACAAAAAGTTTTAATATTTTATGCTTTGCTTCTTGTCCCACACATGCGCGGCGTCGCCTTAACATTCTAGGGGCTTTCTTTTTTTAAGGATCTTTGCGAACTTCAGAATCTCATCGTAAGCTTTGCCAAAGGTTTTAGATGGTTTTAACCCTTGGGTTTTTATTAATTCCATAGCACAATGAGCCTATAGACCTAAGTGGATCCTCTTGGGATCGCCGGTATAACCTAAACTATTAAAATAAGTTAGAAGAATAGTGTTTCTTAACATTTGATGTGTTATGGTACACTAAAAGCTTCAAAAAATTCCAATCTCGCCACTATATAACATACAAAAGGAGTTATGTTTGGAATCAAGAATTATTACAAAAAAAAGGTATTTTATTTGAAAATTTATCTTTTTTCGAACGATGAAAGAGAAAGTACATCTTTCATTTTTCTTTACTTCTGAGACTATCTGTTCACCTTTCTTCCAAAGTAAATAATGTCAATTTAGGACGTGTGCGAGTTAGGCTAAGTTGATGCTAAGCCAAATGGGAGATTTTTTGCACTGCACACATTTTACCATTTATCAACACGTATCGACAAATCACTACATTATCGGCACAACTTAAAATTTCCCTCATTTAGAACGCAACTTAGCCTAACTCGCACACGACCTTAGTTGTAATTCTAAAAAAACCCCATTCAATAATCAAATTACTTACCTGTTGGACGTACGCCCTACGACGAGCAACATTGAGCTAGAGGTATATAGATACATTGTCTGTTGAAAGTATCTTACATATATAATTAGAAAAAAAAAAAACAGGTTGAAGATTTCGCCACAATTCTTTTTCTGTAAGTTGACAATGTTGTGCTATTTTAGAATGGAAGATTTGAGCTCGAACTCTAAGGTGTTATTCTTTTGTAATAATACTATTGGTTAGTCTTAGATGGCAAAAAATCTATTGTTTTGCATTAGGTTTTAACATAAAAGTCAATAAATGTGATCGATCATTCACCATGGTTTCAGAATCGACCGTGTCTAGCATCCAAAACTCAGTTTCTTAACAGGTCTCCGCTTAACATCTTCCACCAAGAATGACGTATGACCCATGCAGTAAGTACTCTGCATCTCAATTGATATAAGAATATAGTCATGTGCTGAATAGAAATTTGTCACGCATAAACACAGCTATTCCAAATGTTCGCCCAAATTGCAGCTCTACCCCCACTCTCCTGATGTCGCTCATCTTTTTTCAACTCATTTGCACCACTACATACACAAACCCCCGTCCAATCGAACTTAAAACCCATTCCATTGAATTGGCTAGGTTTCTTCGTCTGGAGTCGGGTTGATTTCAATTTAAACCTTATTCATTCTCAATATATCCCTTCTACCCATCCTTCCCATCAAGCATCATCCATTCACACCTGAAACCATGTATTTTTTTTTATAAGATTCTTTCTGAATTAAGATCCCAGCTGGTTACAACAACAACAATCACTGAAAACTACTTGTCCAGAAGGACTACCAAGGATTGCTTAAGCCATCGAAAGAAAAATAGCTAAATATATGATCGTTGACATTTATGGAAGTTTTATGTTTTACCCACAAAATATGCAGGCTCGGTCAGATTGTTTCTGGTATTGAACAAAACCCTGTTTCCATGGAAGATAATCTTTACTTTTGGAACTGTTCTGTGCACCAACTCAATCAAGCTCTCCTCTCATTCGAGTCTTCTTTTTTTCGATCAATCACTTAGTGGAATGTGTTGCGAAACGATTGTAAGTATAAAATAATATTTGCAGAATGAATTGAAGGCAATATTACATACTTTAATTAACGTTCCAAAAATATGTCGATGAATTCTTCTTAATTCAATAAGTTGGGACATACTATATTAGTGACAGAGTCTAGAGTTTTTAACGTGATTACATGCTGTGAAGGCATTTCATCATTGTGTTCTTAATTCATGTACCGGAATAATGCGCAATTAAATGCTGGTATCGATTGAAGTTATAGGTTTGGACATAGTTTCCTCCTTGATGAGGACCGAGGCCTACCAAACACCTCTACTAGTCTTTTTGTCACAGTACTCAGTTGAAAAATGCAACTCCACATCGAATGAAAGTAAATGAATACCACCATTTTACCCATATATATATATATATGTGTTTTCAACCACGGGTATGTCCCCTAGGACATTTCTTTTAAGGAGTCAACCTCTGTAGGCCAATACAGCCGAAGCTGCGGGTTCTACCAATGGTAATATCAAATTTACATCTCCAGTCGAGCGTCACAAGTAAAACTCAACAGTATTGGGTGGTGACTTCTGAATTTTAGTCGCCTCAATTGAGCCCCAGACAATTTTATTGTGAGTTTTTGTTGTTGTAAAACTTTTGTGTGGTGTCACGACGAGTTCGAATCTTATAGCCTAAGTGCACAAATTTCGTTTAGTATTCACATATTATATGATTTTAACTTGGTAATAATTTCATGCTTAATAAGTACTGTTACATCAGCGTAAAAGTTATTGTATATTTTCGAGTTTAAGAACTTATATTATATATATTATATTATATCTTCTCCACGAAATAATTCATAAATAGTTCAAAATATCTATGATCTAAGGATTTCTCTATTTACAATAATTATTTTTTTAATAACCAATTAAGCAATTAGTAAGAATTACTTATTATTATATTCACAAAATATCAAATAAATATATTAACATCACTTCTCAAGCCGCTGTGTGGTACTTTTCATCTAATTGATATTACAGGCTCTATTCTCCACTAAAAAGGTTAGAGACATAGGATATTACAAATTCTATTAGTTTAAGTTTCCTGTATTTAAGAATTCTTTCATTTATTTCCTTTCTTTATATTCAAACAATTACAGAAACTTTTACTTTTACTTAATTGTACAATATTTACATTAAAGTTCCAAAACAAAATTAAACTGGCAATCCAGAAACGCACTTTCTGTTTGTATTCCACTAGAATAAATTCCTTAAATCCGAAAGCTTCCACATAATTTTATTCAATATCCATTTTTGAAACGATATTTTCAAGCTTATCTGGTGTACATACTTTCGTTTTGGTGTTGATAGTCTTGGATTTTGAAAGTGGAACGCCAGGAGCGCTGCCTAGATAACTTGCTTGCCCAACTGTGTTATACACGCTAAGTGCTTGAGCTACCATTGATGATACATCTCCTGGATTTGATGGAAGTATTAAAGTATTGCTGGTTTTGGCTAAATTTTTAAATGCTGTGATATACTGCTCGGCCAATGTTAGTGACGCGGCATTCTTTCCATCCATATCCGCTAAGGATTTAGCAATAATTTGTAAGCCACGAGCTCTAGCATCGGCCACAGCTAACATTGCAGCAGCTTCACCACTAGCTTTGTTAATATGCTCCTGACGTTCTGCTTCAGATGCTAAGATTCTTGCCTTTCTTTTACCCTCAGCTATATTGATATCAGCTTCACGTGCACCTTCAGACTCTAAAATAGCAGCACGTTTACGCCTTTCCGCCTCGACTTGCATTTGCATTGCTTCATGTACTCGTGTTGGCAAACGTATATCACGGATTTCATAACGTAAACAAGCAATACCCCATGCTTCACTAGCTTTATTGATGGAGTCCACAATGCTAATATTCAGCGACTCTCTTTCTCGGAAAACTTTATCTAGTGACATTTTACCCAATTCGGAACGCATAGTGGTTTGTGCGAGTTGTGTTATAGCAAATTCTGGATCTTCAACACCATACGAAGCTCGGTAAGGATCTATGATACGCAAATAGAGTACACCATCTATGCTTAAAGTTACATTGTCTGATGTAATGGCGCTTTGTTTTGGTACGTCTATTGCTATTTCTTTCAGACTTTGCACATATTTTATTTTATCGATAAGAGGAACTAAAATGTTAAGGCCAGGATCCATTATTCTATGAAATCGTCCCATACGTTCAACAATCCATGCCTCTTGCTGTGGCACAAACATAACGATGGTGTTTATTGGCGTGGAAGATCGTGCTCTTGTGTGGTGTGTTGTGTGTTGACGACTCAACAGCACACCAATTTTTTCGGTGAATCGTTTATTTCCAGCGAATGTGCGTAACATATTGACTTGTCCCTGTAATTTATAAATTTATATTATTTACTAATAGACTTTTGTGTCAATTTACAATAATTTATGTAAAAAACTGCTGCTTAAAGCTGCACATGAAACAAAGCACTTTACACAGATTCCAATAAAAAATCAGCTGCGTGTCAATATGCTTCATGCCGGCGACCAATGCACGGTTGCATTGCAAAATAAACTTTAGCTTTTGTGGATCGTATGTGGAAGGCATTTATGAAAATTTTAGTAATTGTAATAAATTGTAATAATATTGTAGTAGTAATAAAATTTATTATAAAAATTTTATTGCAACAATTTTTTTATACAAATAGTGAGTATTTAGATGTTGGTCATTAACTCGTTATTGTAAATTCACAAAAACATATATTCATAAAATTCTATCGATAACTTTATTGAGTCACCGAAAACGTTTGAATACGTATACCTTTTAATAAAAAAATAATTTAATATACATTTTCCTTCTTAAAAAAATTCATATTTTTGTTAAAGATATCACACAGGAAATATGTTGCACATAGAACAGTATTTTGACATACATATGAGGATTTTTCACAATTGTATATTTATATTTTATCTAATGACATACATATATATAAGATACGATTTAAAGATAAATTCATAGGTTACTGCAACCTACGATAATAAAATTTTATTGATATTTCTAATAGTTTTGGTAACGTAATATTCGGGTACGTATGGTGGGTTAGTGCCTTAGTTATTGAGTCCAATATTATAAGTACCTTAAATATCAGCTTATAACCAATTCAATGCTTTCCGCCTACTGAAAAGAAAAGTTTGGACCTGAAATACCGATGTTTCTTATGTGCTATAATGATAGAGTCAATTTTGATGGAATTTAAAAATAGAATGTGAATTGTTTTTAAATTATTGATGCAAAGTATGCCATTATCACATAAAATATTAAATCAGGCAGTGGTAGTTTTTCTCACTAGGCATGAAATTAAGTGAATTTCTTCTAAGAATTTCTACTAAGAAATAATCTTAGTGGGGTTCCAAACAAAAATTTTACAAATAACTGATTGATTTGAAGAGAATATAAGTGAAGACAGCTTTGTTTATGAACAATTAATTACTATGTGAGATTTCTGCACACGATTCGACTCGGATACAGACTTGACGGTTGTTTAAGTACTTAATCAGATTCGGAGCGAAGCATAAATACTCGATGAGTCCGAGTACTCTATTAGTATTCTATGAGTTCAAATTTTTAAAAGTAAATTTAATTTCGAAAAACTTTAAAAAGGGACATGGATTTGTAGCAAATTAAAAAATATACTGAAAAGACACTTTCAGACTGCAGATTTTGCTATATATAAGCACCTTCTTAATAGTGTTAAGCAATACCTACGCCTTCCCTATTTGGTCTGCAATCTTTTGAGCGGAAATTTCTTCGGTATTGCACCATCTATAAGCTCAAACTTAACGGCAAGCACTTCTCCATCTCTGTCCTTTACGACAATGCCAAGATCACTTGCATTGACGAGTACCTTTTGACACTCGCTCGTAGGTACCTCACCCGGCTCCACGACCTCCCCTCCTGACGTCCTTATTCCTATAAACCTTCCTGAAGATCTTGTTCTAGCCTTGCGCTTTAAACCTCTCCAATACCTGTCCCACTACCTCGATGAGTGGGACCGTAACCTCTACTCGATTCCCTTATATAACCGCGGCTTTTGTGACCCCAGTCACAAAGTTTACCGCTAACCTCGTCCCCGCTCATCTGCTCTAACCCTACCCCCTTCTTCATAACCCAATTTCCCTAATGTACGCCCTTGCTTTCTGGCTTAGATAAATCTAGCTCGCTAGGTACTAAGTCTATTTTTTTCTTTTTTCTCCCCTGATTACTGGAATGAAGTTTTCACAATGCTGTAGAAATCTACTCCATTCATTCCTAAGAGGTGGTTTAGTGGGTTCAAGTCTCGCACGGTGGCTTTCGATGCTTCCACCTACTGTCAAAACAAAAAAAAAAAATTAAGCAGTGACAGAGTTTATCATTTTTCTCTTCTTTATCTGATCTATAACTACGACAAGTTTTTTTTTCCAAGTTTCAATATGAGCTTGGCCAATATGTCTATGAGAGAGTGTCTTGTTTATACAGATGTATTGGTGAAAGTGCCAGCTAACAGCTTTTAAAACGTTAACAAGAAAAACAAAATACCCAAATTACCAGCTAATAGCACTAAAAAGGGAACAAAAAAGGGAAATTTTTCTGTATAAATAATTCCATAATACAATATATTTTCTATTATATTATTTTAATGTGAATATTTACTTCACAATATAAAAACAATTTTTAATTTTTAGATTGGTTGGTCTATAATTAAATGTATTCACTAATAACAGTTTTTAAATGTGCACTTTATTTAATTGCTAATGAATTTTAAAAGAATATGCAAAATTTTTGGTATAATAATTTTATTTTTTTTTTCAACTCAAGTTGAACTTAGCGTATTTTTGCTTGTAAAATAAACTTTGTAATTTGCAAAGTAGTTAAAAATTCTGTAAAGTTCGGAGTAATAATATCGAACTAATATTTTAATTCAAAATTGGTGAAAGTTTATAAAGGTCAAGTATACACGCACCATTACCATTTCCAAATATCGTTCAATTGAAGAGTTTAAACTTTAAAATTCCGTTTACCCAGGGCCATAGAATGCATGTCAAGCCATAATTGACTTTCCACAAGTACAAAAAGTTCGGTCTCGGAAAATTTGTGCTTGCTAAGTTGGAAGTGTGCCATAACAGTGTGATGTGAAACAATGAGTTATTATAGACGAAAATTAAAATTAAATTACATTTTCTGATCAATAATAAATGATAAAATTGCTTGCCATTTCAATTACACTAGTAAGCAAATATTTAATTAAAAAATGAAATAATAAGATGTGTATATAAGGTCTGTTCCATGAGCTCCTCGTAGTACAACTCAAGTAAAACACAAGTTAACTACAAAATGAGAGCGTGACACAATTAAAGTGCCAAATTACGCTCTTTACACAGATTTTCATGAAACAGCTTTGTGTAAAGTTTGGTGAGAACAACAGTGCCGCGCAAATAAACAACACAAAAATTTAAATTCAAATCAAAACAGCTGATTCACACATCACACAAAGTGTGACTACGAGTAAAGTCAGTGTAGCATTTTCAAATTTTGACAGAGATGTTATACTCTCTCAGATGTTCTCATTTACTCGAAAATTAGCTGGTGGAACGTACTTGTGTATACACAGTTCTACTCAAAGTTAGTACGAGTAGCACGTGGAACAAATCTATTATATAAAATGTTCTCATATCAAAAGTCAGAGTTGTTATTTCTAAATATATAAGTCTCCCTTAATCTGACTTTATCATCCAATTTGTGAACTATGTCCTTTTGGAAATAGATAAGTGTTTTTAGACTAAATATTCTTGGCCTCATTCCTCACATTTAGAATTGAAATGGTAGAAAAAGATCCAGAAAGAATGAGATCCTTTATGGTTCTTAATAAACCGCAGGAAAAGGTCAGCTCTACAAAAAACTACAGTGTCATAATGATAGATCAAAGCCACTTTTCCAGAAAAAGCAATTGGAAGTCGTTATGCTTCAATAATAAATACACATAAGCATAAATGTAGTCTTTGGAAGTATTTAGTGGTGGAGCTTCAATTTCTCAAGTCACTTAACCGGTTACGTACCTGATAATATTCAATTTGTGGTTATTATTAGGAGGATTTTTATATCCTTTTAACTTTCTTCATAGCAAAGAAGATACAAATTAGTTTAGATTTAAACGACAGAGATGTTATAGTAAAAATTATGTTTAGTGATTAAGTGGGTTTCAGCCCCTAAAGTCACTACCTGGTTACGTGCCTGATAGCATTATTTCCATCATAAGTAATTTTAAATACACTTTACTTTGGGGCTACTGCTAGGAGGACATAAAAATCCTAACCTAACAAAAAAGTTTTAAATGACAGAGATGTTATCGTAAAAACTATTTTTAGTGATTATACGAGTATGTACCCGCAAGTCAAATATATTTAATAATTTTCTCTTATATTAATATGTGCTTTAAATTTATGACAAAATTTAAATGTCGTAAATTTCCTATGTTGTCCAGTGTAATTATGCAACATTTGTTCATAAAGCCCACACAATGTCAATGTATGTATAACAATTATTGCACTACAGCCCACCGTACCAGCCCAGGATTTTGCAATGTACATACGAGTATTCATAATGAAGTGCTCATTCATATATCAATCTGCAGCAATTAGCTTCATAATGGCCAATCGCTACATCTCATCTCTCATCTCTCATCATCTCATTTGAGCTCATTATCATCATTATGCATTGTCGCATGATGTTATCACTCGGAGGGAACATCTGTAATATATAAAGTTTATGCCGCCCAAATGTCTTTATCAGTCGCTTACGGGATTGCGAAATGTTTTACTTAACGTTGGTGTACGCAAGTGTCAAACTGTCAACATACGAGTGAGCACTTGGTCTGGTAATGTACCGAATTAATTGCGATTGATGCAATTAAAAAGTTCAAGTGCAATAAAATTTAATGGCTGCGTTAAATAAGTTCATTAATAAACATGATTTAAAATAAAGTAGCTATGTTCATTGGCACATTAAAATATTTTATTCTCTACGATACTACGGTGCGGTATGATATCCTCCTCATTAAAGTCTTATTTATGTTAAGGATTATGGTACCGAGAGTAGTTTTTTTCCTCGTTGGGAATGATACGCAGATATTCGTATGGATGCGGTTTAAAGAAACATGTGCAATGCACATTAAATTATTTAAATTCAAACTTTTAGTGATAATAGTTACTTTATTTAATTAATTTTATCGAGCTTCAAAGTTTTTGCGAATCTCGAAACAATTGATTTGCGCTAAAAGCATTTAATTTTGTATCTGATAGCCTCAATCCAAATACTTTGGTTGTCTTTTTTTTATTTCATTTTTACTTTTATTTTTAATCTGCTTACTTTTTATTTCAAATTGTGTTTAAATTATTTTCATCATTTCTCCATTTTGTAGTTTTTTTTTTTCATTTGCTTGATTATTGTATTAAGGCAAATCCAAGTACTCTGAGA